GTTTAACTACACCAACGGAGTCACACACATGTGTAGATCTTCTCTAACGTGGCAGTGCACTGTTTACAATGCACTACTAACTTTATGATGGAAATAAATCATACAGGGCAGGCGTGAGAAAGGAAACTCAAACCTTCCTCTTTGTAGTCACTTGCCACAGTGGCTCGGATGCTAAGTGGGACAACAGCATACAGTATTTCAGGGTTCCTTTATTGATTCCTGCTTCTCTCCCTCGCATCTTACTGAGGCATATGCAAGGAAGAAATAGGTAGTGACTTAAGCTGTTGTGTCCCTGGCTCCCATGGGAGGCCTGGGTTTAGTTTCTGACTCCTTTCACCTGGAATAGGCCTGGCAGGCATCTGGCCGGTATACTGTCTGTGTGTGTCTGCACACGCATCTTTCTTATCTTTCTCTCTGCCTTTGAAATAATTTTTAAAAGGCAAAAAAGGAGCAACTACACCTTTACACATCTCAGCATCAATTAATGCTCACATTTCAAAGTCACAAGAAAGTAAAAGGCAATAGCGCAGATTTGGAAGTGGATTCCAGACATTCATCTTCTGATCTGGAGGTAGCCACTGGATTTACAAAACCTAATCACAGCCCCTTGAATGAGAACATGTATTTCTATGAAGTTTATAGGTAAATCCACAATCTACCACCATTCAGGAATATTGCAATAAAATGACAGTAGTGGCAATAAAGTGCAGAATGTAGAAACTATTGTAATAGGGAGATACTTAGCATATACATAAAGCTAAAGAAAATGCAAAAGGAAATGAATGTCATAATGGGACCTACACTTCCCAGTTTCAACAGCAGCAATGATACCGTGATTCATTAAAATATACTGACCTCTTTGGCTATCCTTGCCCAACTACATGACAGGAAATAATCCAGAATATCTCCTTCTGGGACACCTCCAGTGGCAGCACGACCTTCACCCTTTCCACTTGATGTTTCTTCCTATGCCAAAAATTAATTAATTAACTAATTAATAAATACTAAAGCAAAACAAGCAATCCAGAAACTCAGCAAACAATCAGTGGCTCCATCACTAAGATACAATTTAATCTGCTTGTCAATTCCTAGGCACATTTCCTCCAGAAAGATAAATATATAAACAGAGGTATTTTCTACCCTATGCTAAGTGGGAGCAGATACATAGGAAAACAAAGAATAGGAGCATATAATTCATCACTTCTACCACTGAGGTAAAAAAAAATAAGCTACAGTAAAGGCTGACTTGAAACAAGACCCACAGCTTTCAGCATATACAAAAACTCAATTCAAAATGGATCAAGGAACTAAACTTAATACCTGAGGGTATCAAGGTACTACAGGAAAACCTAAGGAAATGCTGTGAGGCATTGGCCTAGGCAAATACTTTTTGGATAAGACTCTCAAAGCACTGGTGCTAAAAACACAAACAGGCAGACAGGACTGAATCAAGCTAAGAAGAGTCTGCCTATCAAAGGAAGCTGTGCATCTAATTTATCTTCTATTCTATTAACTCATTTTCAGAGGGTATAAAGAGCTCAGGAAACTTAACAACAACAAAGCAAACGATCTCAGGAAGAAACAGGTACAGGAAAGAACAGGTATTATTCAAAGGACGAAATACAAATGGTCAACAGACACATGAAAACATGCTCAGGGAAAAGCAAATAAACAACATAATGAGGTATCACTTCTCTCCAGTAAGAACAGCTGTTAGCCAAAATCAAAGAATAACAAAAGCTGCTGAAGTGGTGTAGCCAAATTCAGTAGTGGTAGGAACACAAATCGGTATAGCCGTTACGGAAAACAACACAGAGATTCTGTAGAAAACGAAAAATGGATCTACCATGTGACCCAGTTCTCCAACACTCGGGAATGCATCCAAAGAAAGCAAAACAGCATATGAGACTGGTACCTGCATTCTCATGTTAAGAGCACAAGTCACAGTAGTAAAGGGATGAAGTCAGCCTTTGAGCTCCATCAACTAATGACTGCACAATGTTACATGCTGAACTATCACTCAGCCATAAACTATGAATTACTGATATTTGGAGCAAAACATGGAACTGGAGATCATTATTCTAAGTGAAGTAAGCCACCCAGAAACACAAATACTACGTTTTCATTTATTTGTAAAAGTAAATTTATAGAGAGCACAAAGTTGTGTGGCTATCATATGATCTGATATATATAGTAGAAGTATTGTGACACTGAGTTATTGTATTACACAACAATATTTCCTCTGCTTCACAAAATGATCAATGAATACCTCATTAGGTAACATTATTATCCATTTTCAAAAAAGAGTGCATACATGTATACCTGTAATATATACATAAGATGTGACTGTGGCAAAATGTAAAAGAACCTGTTGAATCTTAAAGCTAAAAAAATGTATAAAAACATTCAAAAGGCTGAAGAAACACACCCTTTTATGTCTTAATGTCATTGAAACCTTGCATGGACAAGTACCTCAGAATCCCACGGTGATTCTACAGCTTCATCACTTATTCCGGAGATAGGCACTGCAACTACAAAATGTAGTAAGCGATCGACTAAGAAGAATATTTATGAAATGTACAGACACACGCAATTCATCTCTCTCTCCACTCATAAGTAACTGGAGAAGCCAAAGGTAATACTGAGAAGGTGCTTTAGAGGACTGAGCAGTTTTAGGGAAAATGTCAGAAATATTAAAGCAAAACAAACAAAACTCCCAAAACAAAGGTAAAATAAAATGGATGTAGGATTTCATTTAACACAACGTTGATGTTTCATTTAGCAGTAACGTTGAAAAAGAAGAACATACATACACTCAAGGACCGCTTCTACTACCTCAGGGGATCAGTCTCTACTAACTTGCATGCCTAGAAATTGGTTAAGTGGGGCAATACCTTCTTCCCTCTTTAGAGGTTCTGCAGAGGATTCCTCCTATAGAAAACAAGGAACCACAAATTTAGCACACATACACATTCAATTACTCAACTACTCACTAAGACAAACATTTACTGTGTCTATCAAAACATAGGCACCACCTAACGAAGACAGGCATGTACACAGAGGCGCATTCTACTCTAGGCTTCCATTGGGGTATATATACATATAGAGGAAAACAATGAAAAGGAAATTAAGATTCACTGATTCTACTACTGACATGATAAATGAAGAGGTTACAGAAGAAGCTGGAATTACAGAAGCTTCAGTTCAGCCGTGACAGTTTACAAAACAGGACAAGGCCACAGCCGTATATTTAAAGTACACAAAGTACAGGGGGATTGTGTGTAGGGTCTTCTGAGAGAGGCTGCAGGAACAGAATGATGAGACAGAAAACAACACGACATGAGGGTAAGAAAGTAAGAAGGTAACATTACAACACATTGCTTGGGACTGGGATAGAGTTACTGTAGAGAATCAGGGTCAAGCTGCAACTGGCATGTGGTATGCTACAATCTGAACACTTTTCTGTACAAGACTCCATAGAATCATGGCTCAATACTCTAGTCATGAATAATTTAGAAAGGCCAATCTGGCAGGATGTTCAGATGCATGCAATGCATTCTCTGAAGCATTTCTCAGATTTGAGAGCCTCCGGAGTCTTAGAAGTCATATCTAGAAGAAGACTTGCGGTACAGGAGAAAAAAAAAAAAACACTCTAGGAAATGATGGCTGGTCTAAAAGATAAATGAATACAATAAGCTAAAATTGTATAAGCAAATTTTTGTAATCATAGACTAAATCCTGATATTTTGGAAGTGAAAAAAAGGGGCAAACTATCATGAGTTTCTCATGGAAAATGACAATTATCAATGATTTTATCAGGGATCTAAACTGTAACTCTTTTTCTATGTAGTTCTGTCATGTTGCTGTAACATGCAGTCGTAAATTTCAGAAAAGACTTATGTCAATGCAATCTATTGGAGATACTGAAATAGGAGATGGTAAAACATACATCTAAACATTTTCAAGGTCAGAAGTGCCAAGGAGATGCCAGAGTAATGAAGAATCCTTTTCTGTACCACGATGATTTCAGATAGATATCCAAAACCATTCAGCATTAAGTTCAATCTGGTTTCCTTGTTTTTTAGTTAATTACATTTGAGCCTTCAAAACTAAAAGTACATAATAAGAAAAGGGGAGAGGGGTTATAGATCCACAGACATAGACCTAGACCTAGCCATAGAAATAGTCATAGACATAGACATATAGACACAGATATAGATACAGACATCAACAGAAGTATAAACATAGACGACAGAATCAGAGGGAGAGCGAAAGTGAGAGATCAGACAGAATCCTAGAGAGGGTTTCATTATTCATATTTCTGCAAAGTCCAGTCTAGCATTTGTAAAATCAGGAGCTGGGGACTCAATTTCTCCCAATGGGTAGCAAAGAATGAATTATTAATCCATGGAAGCCTGACAGGGTGCCTCCTGGCTGAAAGTTAGAATCAGGCACAGGAAAAGGACAGAAGCCATCCTAGGTGAGGTAGATAGCTCATCTGACTTCTTCACCACTGGGCCAAGAGTTTAGCTCCTAATTCTTTTTCCTAGGTTGTAAAGGCAAGAGAGTTGGCTGAAGCAAATGTCAAGACAGCCTCAAAACCTCTCCTTTACGTAGCTTCAGATAAGTAAGGGGAAGCTTGTATTACATAGGTACTAGGTATCCCACTCTCTCCCAGATAAGAAATATCGTCAAGAATATATGAACAAACAACAAATCTAGTCAGAAATGGACACAGCACCTCAACAGACCTGTCTCGAAATAAGATAGAAATGGCAATCAATGTGACAGTATGTTCAACATCACCAACCACCAGGGAAATGCATATCAATGCCTCAAAGAGATATCACACCACCCCTTCTCAAGATAGCGAAAATGTTTATCTGCCTGTCTTATGTAAGTAGCTGTCTCTCAAGTAACTTTATACCTTCAAGCAAACACCAATTTTGTTTTAACATCACTGAAATCAGATATTTCCAACTCACAAGAAGACACACTACCTTCGAATTCCTTGGTGAGTTGTTGTCTTCAGGATCTCTTTGGGAGGTAGACTCCTTACCTACAAATGCAGTAACAGATCAACTAGTGAGAACATTTATTCACATGGAAACAATTTACATAAAGGCGTGTCTCTCTCCACTCATGAATATTGCAATGAAACGAATATTTCAATGAAATAAAAGGAATAGTAAGGATGAATTTCAGAGGGTTGAAGCTGTTTCAGGAAGAAGTTGGTTATATTAAAAAAGCCAAAGAAAACCCTCAAAATAAATGGATATCCAATTTAGAGCTACTCATTTCTCTTCATTGTATTTTAATATTAAGTTTCGAAGGATAGGCACTCACTACCCATGTTACCATTGTCCAATCCACGATCATAGTTGAACGCATATTCATTAATTGGCTGTTGTGGAGCAACTTGAGTGATGGCGATATCTTTTAAGCCCTTCTTACTCGCTAAGGTTGACATTCCTTCCTACAGGAAGATAAAATACAAATTCAACAAATACACCCAAGTTCTCAACCCCTCAGCCACTCATTCAGGGAGACAGGATTTACTATGTGTGTCATGTCACAGGAACAGTCCTTGCAAAGGTTGAGCATATAAACAAAGAGCAGATTCTACCCCATACTCAGTTAAGCATATACACAAAGAGCAGATTCTACCCCCACGTTCTTTCAGTTGAGCATATAACAAAGAGCAGATTCTACCCCATGTTTAGCTAGAGGTAGACATGGGAAAATACAACAGGAAAGTATAAACCACTATTTCTGCCACTGAAGTCAATACAATTGAAGAAAAGGCAGAAAAAAGAATCCTCAATTCAGTCTTGCAAGGTCAGGAAATACTGCTTGATTTCTGGCCGAGAGTTAGAATTGGGTACAAAATAAGGACAGAAAGCCATCCGAGGTGTGAGGTAGATAGCTCATCTGACTTCTTCACCACTGGGCCAAGAGTTTAGCTCCTAATTCTTTTTTCCTAGGTTCTAAAGGCAAGAGAGTTGGCTGAAGCAATGTCAAGACAGCCTCAAAACCTCTCCTTTACGTAGCTTCAGAGTAAGGGGAAGCTTGTATTACATAGGTACTAGGTATCCCACTCTCTCCCAGATAAGAAATATCGTCAAGAATATAAACAAACACCAAATCTAGCTCAGAAATGGACACAGCACCTCAACAGACCTGTCTCGAAATAAGAGATAGAAATGGCAATCAATATGACAGTATGTTCAACATCACCAACCACCAGGGAAATGCATATCAGTGCCTCAAAGAGATATCACACCACCCCTTCTCAAGATAGCGAAAATGTTTATCTGCCTGTCTTATGTAAGTAGCTGTCTCTCAAGTAACTTTATACCTTCAAGCAAACACCAATTTTGTTTTAACATCACTGAAATCAGATATTTGCAAATCACAAGAAGACACACTACCTTCGAATTCCTTGGTGAGTTGTTGTCTTCAGGATCTCTTTGGGAGGTAGACTCCTTACCTACAAATGCAGTAACAGATTAACTAGTGAGAACATTTATTCACATGGAAACAATTTACATAAAGGCGTGTCTCTCTCCCTCATGAATATTGCAATGAAATGAATATTTCAATGAAATAAAAGGAATAGTAAGGATGAATTTCAGAGGGTTGAAGCTGTTTCAGGAAGAAGTTGGTTATATTAAAAAAAGCCAAAGAATACCCTCAAAATAAATGAATATCCAATTCAGAGCTACTCATTTCTCTTCATTGTATTTTAATAGTAAGTTTTGATAGATATGCACTCACCACGTTTGTATCTTTGTCCAATCCGTGATCAGAGTTCATAATTGGCTGTTGTGGAGCAACTTGAGCGATGAAAAAACGTTTTTTACTCTTCTTACCCGCTACAGCTGACGTTCCTGCCTACAGAACAATAAAATACAAATTCAACACATATATCCAATTTCTCAACCCCTCAGCTACTCATTCAGTGAGACAGGATTTACTATGGGTATCAAGTCATAGGCCCAGTCCTTGAAAAATCTAAGCATATAACAAAGAGCAGATTCTACCCCATGTTTAGCTAGAGGTACATGGGAAAATACAACAGGAAAGTATAAACCACTATTTCTGCCACTGAAGTCAATACAGTTGAAGAAAAGGCAGAAAAGAGAATCCTCAATTCAGTTTGCAAGGTCAGGAAATACTGCTTGATTTCTGCCGAGAGTTAGAATTGGGTACAAAATAAGGACAGAAAGCCATCCGAGGTGTGAGGTAGATAGCTCATCTGACTTCTTCACCACTGGGCCAAGAGTTTAGCTCCTAATTCTTCTTTCCTAGGTTCTAAAGGCAAGAGAGTTGGCTGAAGTGAATGTCAAGACAGCCTCAAAACCTCTCCTTTACGTAGCTTCAGATAAGTAAGGGGAAGCTTGTGTTACATAGGTACTAGGTATCCCACTCTCTCCCAGATAAGAAATATCGTCAAGAATATGAACAAACACCAAATCTAGCTCAGAAATGGACACAGCACCTCAACAGACCTGTCTCGAAATAAGAGATAGAAATGGCAATCAATATGACAGTATGTTCAACATCACCAACCACCAGGGAAATGCATATCAGTGCCTCAAAGAGATATCACACCACCCCTTCTCAAGATAGCGAAAATGTTTATCTGCCTGTCTTATGTAAGTAGCTGTCTCTCAAGTAACTTTATACCTTCAAGCAAACACCAATTTTGTTTTAACATCACTGAAATCAGATATTTGCAAATCACAAGAAGACACACTACCTTCGAATTGGTGAGTTGTTGTCTTCAGGATCTCTTTGGGAGGTAGACTCCTTACCTACAAATGCAGTAACAGATCAACTAGTGAGAACATTTATTCACATGGAAACAATTTACATAAAGGCGTGTCTCTCCATTCATGAATATTGCAATGAAATGAATATTTCAATGAAATAAAAGGAATAGTAAGGATGAATTTCAGAGGGTTGAAGCTGTTTCAGGAAGAAGTTGGTTATTAAAAAAGCCAAAGAATACCCTCAAAATAAATGAATCCAATTCAGAGCTACTCATTTCTCTTCATTGTATTTTAATAGTAAGTTTTGATAGATATGCACTCACTACGTTTGTTATCTTTGTCCAATCCGTGATCAGAGTTCATAATTGGCTGTTGTGGAGCAACTTGAGCGATGAAAAAACGTTTTTACTCTTCTTACCCACTACAGCTGACGTTCCTGCCTACAGAACAATAAAATACAAATTCAACACATATATCCAATTTCTCAACCCCTCAGCTACTCATTCAGTGAGACAGGATTTACTATGTGTGTCATGTCACAGGAACAGTCCTTGAAAAATCTAAGCATATAAACAAAGAACAGATTCTACCCATGTTCAGTTAGAGGTAGACATGGGAAAATACAACAGGAAAGTAAAACCACTATTTCTGCCACTGAAGTCAATATAGTTGAAGAAAAGGCAGAAAAGAGAATCCTCAATTCAGTCTTTTTTTTTTTTTTTGACAGGCAGAGTGGACAGTGGAGAGAGAGACAGAGAGAAAGGTCTTCCTTTGCCGTTGGTTCACCCTCCAATGGCCGCCGCGGCCGGCGCACTGCGCTGATCCGATGGCAGGAGCCAGGAGCCAGGTGCTTTTCCTGGTCTTCCATGGGGTGCAGGGCCCAAGCACCTGGGCCATCCTCCACTGTACTCCCTGGCCACAGCAGAGGGCTGGCCTGGAAGAGGGGCAACCGGGACAGAATCCGGCGCCCAACCGGGACTAGAACCCGGTGTGCCGGCGCCGCTAGGCGGAGGATTAGCCTAGTGAGCTGCGGCACCGGCCTCAATTCAGTCTTGCAAGGTCAGGAAATACTGCTTGATTTCTGGCCGAGAGTTAGAATTGGGTACAAAATAAGGACAGAAAGCCATCCGAGGTGTGAGGTAGATAGCTCATCTGACTTCTTCACCACTGGGCCAAGAGTTTAGCTCCTAATTCTTCTTTCCTAGGTTCTAAAGGCAAGAGAGTTGGCTGAAGCGAATGTCAAGACAGCCTCAAAACCTCTCCTTTACGTAGCTTCAGATAAGTAAGGGGAAGCTTGTATTACATAGGTACTAGGTATCCCACTCTCTCCCAGATAAGAAATATCGTCAAGAATATATGAACAACACCAAATCTAGCTCAGAAATGGACACACACCTCAACAGACCTGTCTCGAAATAAGAGATAGAAATGGCAATCAATATGACAGTATGTTCAACATCACCAACCACCAGGGAAATGCATATCAATGCCTCAAAGAGATATCACACCACCCCTTCTCAAGATAGCGAAAATGTTTATCTGCCTGTCTTATGTAAGTAGCTGTCTCTCAAGTAACTTTATACCTTCAAGCAAACACCAATTTTGTTTTAACATCACTGAAATCAGATATTTCCAACTCACAAGAAGACACACTACCTTCGAATTCCATGGTGAGTTGTTGTCTTCAGGATCTCTTTGGGAGGTAGACTCCTTACCTACAAATGCAGTAACAGATCAACTAGTGAGAACATTTATTCACATGGAAACAATTTACATAAAGGCGTGTCTCTCTCCACTCATGAATATTGCAATGAAATGAATATTTCAATGAAATAAAAGGAATAGTAAGGATGAATTTCAGAGGGTTGAAGCTGTTTCAGGAAGAAGTTGGTTATATTAAAAAAAGCCAAAGAAAACCCTCAACATACATGGATACCCAATTCAGAGCTACTCATTTCTCTTCATTGTATTTTAATAGTAAGTTTTGATAGATATGCACTCACTACGTTTGTTATCTTTGTCCAATGCATGATCAGAGTCCATCTCATATTTATTAATTGGCTGTTGTGGAGCAACTTGAGCGATGAAAAAACGTTTTTCTCTTCTTACCCCTACAGCTGACGTTCCTGCCTACAGAACAATAAAATACAAATTCAACACATATATCCAATTTCTCAACCCCTCAGCTACTCATTCAGTGAGACAGGATTTACTATGTGTATCAAGTCATAGGCCCAGTCCTTGAAAAATCTAAGCATATAAACAAAGAGCAGATTCTACCCCATGTTCAGTAGAGGTAGACATGGGAAAATACAACAGGAAAGTATAAACCACTATTTCTGCCACTGAAGTCAATATAGTTGAAGAAAAGGCAGAAAAGAGAATCCTCAATTCAGTCTTGCAAGGTCAGGAAATACTGCTTGATTTCTGGCCGAGAGTTAGAATTGGGTACAAAATAAGGACAGAAAGCCATCCGAGGTGTGAGGTAGATAGCTCATCTGACTTCTTCACCACTGGGCCAAGAGTTTAGCTCCTAATTCTTCTTTCCTAGGTTCTAAAGGCAAGAGAGTTGGCTGAAGCAATGTCAAGACAGCCTCAAAACCTCTCCTTTACGTAGCTTCAGATAAGTAAGGGGAAGCTTGTATTACATAGGTACTAGGTATCCCACTCTCTCCCAGATAAGAAATATCGTCAAGAATATATGAACAAACACCAAATCTAGCTCAGAAATGGACACAGCACCTCAACAGACCTGTCTCGAAATAAGAGATAGAAATGGCAATCAATATGACAGTATGTTCAACATCACCAACCACCAGGGAAATGCATATCAGTGCCTCAAAGAGATATCACACCACCCCTTCTCAAGATAGCGAAAATGTTTATCTGCCTGTCTTATGTAAGTAGCTGTCTCTCAAGCAACTTTATACCTTCAAGCAAACACCAGTTTTGTTTTAACATCACTGAAATCAGGTATTTGCCACCAAAGACACACTACCTTCGAATTCCTTGGTGAGTTGTTGTCTTCAGGATCTCTTTGGTGGTAGACTCCTTACCTACAAATGCAGTAACAGATCAACTAGTGAGAACATTTATTCACATGGAAACAATTTACATAAAGGCGTGTCTCTCTCCATTCATGACTATTGCAATGAAATGAATATTTCAATGAAATAAAAGGAATAGTAAGGATGAATTTCAGAGGGTTGAAGCTGTTTCAGGAAGAAGTTGGTTATATTAAAAAAAGCCAAAGAAAACCCTCAACATACATGGATATCCAAAGGCTACTCATTTCTCTTCATTGTATTTTAATAGTAAGTTTTGATAGATATGCACTCACGTTTGTTATCTTTGTCCAATGTGTGATCAGAGTCCATCCCATGTTTTAATTGGCTGTTGTGGAGCAACTTGAGTGATGAAAAAACATTTTTTACTCTTCTTACCCGCTATAGTTGACGTTCCTTCCTACAGAACAATAAAATACAAATTCAACACATATATCCAATTTCTCAACCCCTCAGCTACTCATTCAGTGAGACAGGATTTACTATGTGTATCAAGTCATAGGCCCAGTCCTTGAAAAATCTAAGCATATAAACAAACAGCAGATTCTACCCCATGTTCAGTTAGAGGTAGACATGGGAAAATAGAACAGAAAAGTATAAATCACTGTTTGCATCGTTGAAGTATATATAGTAGAAGAATAGGCAGAGAGTGTATCCTCGAGTTAATCTTGGAAGGTCAGCAAATATTGTTTATTTGGGGCTACATTTTGAAACGCAGATCAAATGAAATCAAAAGTAAGACATGAAGGCATTGTATACAGCACAGATGAGGCAAAATATGTATAGCAATAAACAAGGCAAATTAGCAGCCCCAGATATGGAGCTACAATGAGAACGTCCTTAGAATGGGGTTTAGTGATGTACGGCAGATTTAAGACCTAAGGACCAAACCAATGGTCATGCTGGAATGTGAATTCTCCCCTACTGGAATGGAAATCTACTCAATAAGCAGTTGAACTACATGATTACAAATATGTTTAAGGGATCACTCTGGCAGGAAATACACAATGTACGAAAATGTCTTCAGTTAGGCAATACGAGATTTGATGCACACAGAGAACTTAGAAACCACATTGTGTCAAAGGAAAAAAAAAACTAACATTGAACACAAAACAAAAAGTAGAGGGTGGGAGGTTATGGGGGATAGAGAAAATTTGAAATAGGGGTAAGAAACCAGAGTTACATTGAAGGAATGACTTCCTACTGCACTCACCTCCATCGCTGGGAAGAACCAGCACAGCAAAGGAAACGCCCGTGTCTAAGAGACTGACTGAAGGAAATCTTTGGTAAGGAAGTAAGGACAACTCTAAATGGCAATAGGCTCAGAGAGCCAGTACAGAGAGAGGCAAGAACAAAGTTGTGAGGGAATTATGTTTTACAATAACCTAACACACACTGCATGAGCAAACAGAAGAATCCTCAAACCTGCAATCATAAAGTAACACGAAGGAATGAAAATCTTAGTCATCCTGTTTTGCTCAGTACACATAATATACATGTATTGAAATACCACACTGTGGCCCTTAAATGTGTCATATTTAGTCACTCAAGAATTTTGAAAAGAAATGGGAGTAGACAAATATATAGTCATATATATAATGCACTGAAATACAATACTGTGACCCATAAATGTGTCATATTTAGTCACTAAAAATTTTTCAAAAGAAATGGGAATAGACAAAATCACTCAGAAAAAGCATATAATAAGAAAATACATATAAATAAATATTTGTAAAACATTATAATATAAGCAAATAATGTAAACATAAACTGAATTCTGAAATTTGGAAAACGAAAATAAAAAGGCAGAACCTATGAGATTTAATTTTTCAATTACATATTTCTACATACGTTTGCAGCATACAAAATTTCATATTTCTACATTTGTTTCAAGAATTTAAAATAAAATTTTAATTTATAAATTGAAATATTACATACATTTCTTACTATAGTGAGAATATGTGCTTCTGGAGTTTATGGTAATAAGCATTTTTCAAATCTGTTAAAAATATAGTTCTGTGAAAAAATATAAGAGGCTACAGGAGGACTGTTTTTCAAAAGCCTTGATTGCTTTAAATGTCACAAAACAAAGTCCTGAGAGTCAGTACTCTGATTAAGCAGGTTGAGCTGCCAGACTATTCCTTTTGTATTTTAAAAATTATCTCAGTTTCTCACAAAAAATAAGGAGACAGAAGGAAACAGGAAGAAGAGAAAATGAAATAGAGTGGCACAGAGAAGTAGGCCTGCAGAGGTGCCATTTGCTAATTCACTCTCCAAAAGCCTGTAAGGGCCAGGGCTCAGCCACACCAATGCTAGGACCTGAGTACCCAACCATTTTTTTTTCTCAGAACTTTTACTATGGGTTGAGTCAAATGGCAACGTAGTCAGGAAATCTTTCCTTTGTGTAATGTTCAAACAACAGTAAGCAAATACATGTGTAAGGTACATATGCAACTCTTTTCCAACTAGGCAATATCTTCAAAGTTATAAAAATCTCTACAAAGAGATAAATAGGGAGTCATGTTTTAGCTCCTAAAATGTGACATTCATTTCACATTATGTTTTCCACAAGTGACAATATAAATATCACCATGATTATGGCTGTCTCATGGTGTGAGGCTTGCTCATTTCTAATGCTTAGTATGATGAGGTCTGAGAGAGAGAGAAGGAAAAAAAGCTGCATACAGAGGCCCTGCACTCACCTCCACCGCTGGGAAGAACCAGCACAGCAAAGGAAACACCCGGTGTCTAAGAGACTGACTGAAGGAAATCTTTGGTAAGGAAGTAAGGACAACTCTAAATGGCAATAGGCTCAGAGAGCCAGTACAGAGAGAGGCAAGAACAAAGTATACTGTAGCTCCTACGCTGGTGTTATGGCCAGGGGGACTCTATCTCGCTGAGGAAAGTAAGCAGAAGCCTCTAAGATTCCCACCATTATGGCAGAGCAGTGGCCCTAACTACAGAATTCCACCGTCCTCGGTTTTCATTTACCTAGAAAGCTGACTGTGTCTGAGGGCCTTCTTTGCCCTAAGAAAGACTCCATTTTGCCAGTGCCGCGGCTCACTAGGCTAATGCTCTGCCTTGCGGCGCCGGCACACCGGGTTCTAGTCCCGGTCGGGGCGCCGGATTCTGTCCTGGTTGCCCCTGTTCCAGGCCAGCCCTCTGCTGTGGCCAGGGAGTGCAGTGGAGGATGGCCCAAGTCCTTGGGCCCTGCACCCCATGGGGACCAGGAAAAGCACCTGGCTCCTGGCTCCTGCCATCGGATCAGCGCGGTGCGCCGGCCGCAGCACGCCGGCCGCGGCGGCCATTGGAGGGTGAACCAATGGCAAAGGAAGACCTTTCTCTCTGTCTCTCTCTCTCACTGTCCACTCTGCCTGTCAAAAAAAAAAAAAAAAAGAAAGAAAAAGAAAGACTCCATTTTGCCTCTTTCCAAATCCCCAGACCCAAGTGGTTGCAGCAACACTGCGGCTATCCCTTATTCTGTCTTGGGGACAGCAAGTACCCCTGATGCTACCAGCAGTCCCCAGATTCCACCTGCCACCTGCCCCTGCCCACAGCCAGAGCCAGGCTGCTTTACAGGGCAGACAGCAGGTCCCTGCCTATACGGCTGAATTGCTGGGCACAGCTTCAGGGCTCTGTCTTCTGCCTGTTTTTAAAAAGACAGAAGAAACAAGCACTCCATTCTAGATTTGAACATCACTTAGTGCTTATATTTAAAATATCATAACAAGAGACAGTACCTCAGGGTCTGAAGTTGATTCTTTAGCTTCATCTTCTGCTCCTAAAGTAAACACCATTTCTATAAGAGGTAGTCATAGATCTGATAATAAACGTTATTATGAATTCTAAATACACATACACAGATGGGATCAGGCGCATTCAGGGTGTATGGCCATAGATTATCTTCCAGAGTGGCTATACTATTTTGCATATGGAAGAGCAATGAATGAGTATCCCTATTGCTCTATTTCCTTATCTGCAATCACTGTTGTCACTGTTTTGAAATCCCTAGCAGTTCATGATGTTCAGAATCACTTCTTCAGTTCACTTGCCATCTGTTTATCTTCCATGGAAGGTGTTTGTTCCGCTATTTTTCCTATTTTTAAGCCTGTTTGGTATTTTTTAAATTTAGCTTTAAGAGTTCTCTAAACGGTTTGGATAATAGCTGTGTCTTTGTTGAAATATCTTATACAAATATTCTTTCCAGGTTATTTATTATACCCTTGGTGGTATATTGGAAGAACTAAAATTTTGTTTCTTATCACTATTCACTTTTCATGAACATCAATATACTTGCAGAAACTGAGAATAACTGGTCTTTACAACTTGTTCACCCTGAAGATGCTTATGCAAATCTCATCCGTGGCTGTCATACATTTTGTTACCTTAAGGGAATGAACACTGTCACTTACGGTAAGGTAGAAAGGTATATAACTTATCTTACACTGCCTGCTTTCAGTTTATAGACCAAGCTGTGTCATGCCAAAATGCAATCTTAATTCTTCAGCATAGAAATCACTTTAAAAGGCCTGTTGTTTCCAGCACCCTAAAATAATACCAAGAATCCCTAGAACCATCTGAAATAAAGTTCCATTTATCAATTTAAAAAATATGCTAATTTATATTTTAATTTAACTCTGGATTTTCTAGTCATTAAATTGATCTGTTCTACTATTTCTATGCCATGCCATCATGTGGTTATCCCCATAGATTTACTCTATGATTCAGTCCTGAGAAAAGCAAATTTTCTTGTTGTGCTTTTCTTCCTCAAAATGTTCCAGTAAATGTACATACATTAAAGCCTCATTAGAGCAAATTAAATACACACACACACACACACACACACATCTCCATGAGTAATTCAACAATATGTAAAAGTAACAGCAAGAAAGAATTCCAAAGGGTTGACGAAGTTTTAGGAAGAAGAATTTGGTCCTATGAAGAAAGATATTAAAAAAAAACAATAAAATACATTGGGTAGCATATTTATGGCTTCACATTAAACTTCATACAATAACATTTAAATAGAAGGTTTTCATACACTGGATGGAACTGGAAATCACTATCCTAGAGAAATAAGCCAGTCACACAAAACCAAATCTCACATGTTTTATATATGGAAGCTATAGAAAGTACAAAAAGTGCATGGATACCGTATTATTTGGTCTATAATCATATTGTCTTTAATGGATTTCATCAATACATCCTTCTTTCCTCACTGTTAGCATTGTGATGAATCCCACATTTTTCTTACATTAATATTACTGTTTTTGAGAAAAATGTATATAGTGCACATATATAATATCAAATGTTAAAAAATGTTCAATTTTAAAATTTACAAAAGAAATTTTGATCCACTTACCACATTTGTTATCTTCATGGACTCCATGAACACGAGTTATTCTGTCGTTATTGGGTTGCTCTTCTGGTGCACTGTGAATGATGGCAGTTGTATGTCCTGGAATTAAGTCTTTCTATAGGAAAAAAAAACACAACCTCAGCAAGCATGTTCACTCAGTTGTCCCACCACCCATTCACTCACTAAGACATTTATTCTGTAAATCAAAGCATAGGCACTGTCCTAGGAAAAGAAGAATATGTCCACGGAAGGCACTTACTGCAGTACGTTAAAGTGGGAGTAGACATAGAGTCAACAAAAACTCGGAGCAAGAAAATTAATTCCATAATAGAGCATTTTACCTTGGCAAATGAATTGAGGCCTTTCTCATATGATATAAGCAGTTCATGATTAACATCAGGTATTTCCAAAAGCCTTGTGCACAAAAATATATAAGAAAAATAGTTAAATATTTTCTATAAAAAATCAGGGGAAACATCAACTAAACTTCTGCTAAATGGTATTTTTTGGTACAATGAAAATTTGACTCTTGTTTTAGAAAAACTTTTCATCATCTATTTCTGCCTACACTACTCTCACCCCACTGAAATATTTGGTGAAGATAATACATCCCATAAAAAATCTGTGAACATCAATATACTAGCAGAAACTTTACAACTTGTTCACCCTGAAGATGCTTATGCAAATTTCATCCGTGGCTGCCATACATTTCATTACCTCAAGGCAATGAACACTGTCACCTATGGTAAGCGAGAAAGGTATATAACTTATCTTACACTGCCTGCTTTCAGTTTATAGACCAGGCTGTGTCATGCCAAAATGCAATCTTAATTCTTCAGCACAGAAATCACTTTAAAAGGCCTGTTGTTTCCAGCACCTTAAAATAATACCAAGAATCCCTAGAACCATCTGAAATATTTGAAAGCTAAAGATATATACATCACAGAACAAATGTGTAGGTTGTTGTTGGAAATGCCCTTCTCAGAAATATTAAGATGTTCAGTGATTTTCCCAAATAAGTGTTGCTGTTTCCTCATTCAGGTAAACGTAAACCAGTAAGACTATAGGTGCTTATGTACTTAGAAGGGAGATGCTGCTGAGAAGAGTCATGGTACCTGTACTTTTGTTTCTGTTAATGGTATCTAAATATCTTGCCTCCTATGAGCTCCTAACCCCAAATAACTCTTCTGGTGTCAAGCACAGTGATGTGGTTTGGATAAGAGTTCAGATATCAACAAAAGGCCCATGTATTTGTGGCTAGATTGCAAAGTCTTATTTAATGGATAAATGGTAATGGTCAATGGATTAAAAGTAGAAACAATGCAACTATGATGTCTAGGTGTTGGGCCTAAAGGAGGTCTTTAGGTCACCGGGGGCTTGTATTGTGAATGAAGTTCTCATGAGAGCAGTGAACTATACAACTGTTCTCTCTGCTGCTGGGTGCACCGTGTTATTCTCCCTTTGTATTCATTCCACCAACCAACATCCTCATCATGCTGCCACCTGTTCTTGGACTGTGAATCTCAAAACTTTATGCCAAAATAAATCCTATTCCTCTGTATGTTAGCCAACAGATATTTTTTCTGTAAGTAACAAAAAGCTTACAAACACATACAACTTCAAACATTAACGTATTAAACCTACAAAGCACAGAACCCTGAGAAAAGAGTGGACTCAAACATACAACTGTATTTTTTTATTTTCTTTTATTATTTTTTTTATTTTTTGACAGGCAGAGTGGACAGTGAGAGAGAGAGACAGAGAGAAAGGTCTTCCTTTGCCATTGGTTCATCCTCCAATGGCCGCCGCGGCCGGCACGCTGCGGCCGGCGCACCGCGCTGATCCGATGGCAGGAGCCAGGTGCTTCTCCTGGTCTCCCATGGGGTGCAGGGCCCAAGCACTTGGGCCATCCTCCACTGCACTCCCTGGCCACAGCAGAGAGCTGGCCTGGAAGAGGGGCAACCGGGACAGAATCCGGCACCCCAACCGGGACTAGAACCCGGGTGCCAGCGCCGCAAGGCGGAGGATTAGCCTAGTGAGCCGCAGCACCGGCCCAAACATACAATTGTAGGCACTACTTCCCTCTTCTAAAAAACAAGCTACATTGAGGCTCAGTCATCTTGCCACAGCAAGACACACGTAGCTCTGTAGGGTTTATCAGCTAATCCTATCCCCCTCTTACCAAATACATACCAGGGAGAGACATCAGAAAATGGAAAGAAGAGGTGGGCATGAGAGGACATCTGCCCTGGACCAAGTTCTTTGCAGATCATCCACCTCCAGGCCCCTAGTGCTCAAGGGAGACTAGATTACCTACCCCTCTGAGTGTGGGGGACCATGAAGTAGATGATATAGCATTACAGTCTTATCTGATATGGACTCTTCCCAGTGACTCTAAAAATCCACCTGTGGTGCAAGCATCCCGTTGGGCACTGGCTCATGTTGCAGCTACTCTTTCCAACTGTCTGCTTATGGCCTGGGAAAGCAACGGAAAATAGCCCAAGTCCTTGGGTCCCTGCACTCATGTGAGAGCCAGGAAGAAGCTCCTCATTCCTGGCTTTGGATTAGCTCAGCTCCAGCCATTGCAGCTATTTGGGGATGAACCATGGATGGAAGATATATATATATTCATATACATTATATACACACACACATATATATATATGGCAGGATTTCTTTATTGATTCATCAGTTGATGAGCATCTAGTTTGATTCCATATATTAGCCATTGTAAATTCAGAATTTATCTGAATTGGACCTGTATCTTGATGCCACTATTGTATAAGTCTGTATCCATCCATGCTAAAGGGTAAGAGAATCCATTTGGGAGTAAGGCAGGCTGATATGGGTCAGTTAATTATTTTACTACAGGTTCATAGGCCAATCAATCAACCCCTCAGCACTATAGTTGCCTAAATAGTAGGAAATAAACTACATTAACACATACATTGAAAACTGGTTGGACAATTATGACAAGCAACAAATGTTAAGTACACAATATCCATCCAGCCCAGAGGAGAATACATAATGCATTTCTTTGCTTTCCATTAGTTAACAAATGGTTTTAAAAATCATTAAACCCTACCTTTTTCTATATTCTTTAGAATGCTCATCATCTATTAAAGAAAAGTAAATACATTTTAAATTAAATCAATGATAGAATAATATAGAATGTTATATATATAGTACATTGTTAAAAATTACAGCTTTGGAGCCAGGTGTTTGACACAGAAGTTATGATGCTTCTTAGATGCTCACATCATACTGGAGTGCCTGGGTTTGGGTCTCAGCTTTGCTTTCAAACTGAGCTCTCAGCGTACCCTGAGAGGCAGGAGGTTATGGCTTAAGCAATTGGGTCTTTGTGACCCATCTGAGTCCTGCTTTTGTCTGGCCCAGCCCCAGATATTGCCGGAATTTAGGGAGAAATTATCAGAGAAGGAAATAACACTCTCTACTGGCTATCTATAGCTCTGCATCTCTACATTTCACATAAACTGAAAATAAAAATTAAAAGAAAAGATGCTTTTGATCATACTTACAAGTTATAGCAGAGTGATTATTAACTACATCATTGATAGCCATTATGGAACCTTACTTCTGCTACTTTGAATTTATCAATGTAAAGTGAATAATACAATTAATTAAGATGATATGGAAAACATATGCTCTATACAAAGACTGTAATCCAACTGAGAGACAATTGTATCACTAATAGAATAAGTATAAAAGATTGTAGGGTCCCAGTGCTATGTCACAGCAGATAAAGTCACGGCCTACAGTGCTGGCCTCCCTCATGGTTTCCAGTCCAAGTCTTGGCTGCTCCACTTCCAATCCAGCTTCCTGTTAACGGGTCTAGGAAATCAGCAATAGATGTCCCAAGTTCTTGGCCATGTAACCATGTGTGAGTAGCTGAGTTTGATTACCAACTCCATGTTCTGACTTCAGTTTGCTGCCTGTGCAAACTCACAGAGGCAGTGAGGCTCAAGTAATCAAGCTCCTCCCAAGCACGTGGAAGACCTAGATGGAGTTCCTGACTCCTGTCTATGGCTTCCATCCAAACGAGGCCATTGTGAGCATTTGGAGGACAAATTGGTAGATGGCAGCTTTGTTCTGTAAGTCTCCATGCCTCTCAGACACAGACATACACACACACACACACATATACAGATATGTATCTTTTTCTAAATTACACAAATGCCACAAAGAGATAAAGGGCCACAATTAGTGATTTTCTTCAAATAATAGTGCTTCAGATTATAAATATCCTACAATAAACCTCTAAAATTTCTAAATACTTGATTCCTAAGAAAGATTAAGAAAAACAACATATAATTAATCATTGACTTATCTGTAACTGCTCTTCTGTGATCAACTACTTCTTATGTTTATATTTTTTTTCCTATGTTGGGACTAGCTGGAGAAGTTTTACCTGGATTTGTATTTACAATCTTCTCAAGTGCAGCATTTTCTCGAAACAACGAAATGAGTTGGTAATTTTGCCTATGTATAAGAATGAATAAAATTGTTTCAGTATTGATAAGGACAACTATCAAATGTATCAAATCCTTAGAATATTTCTGATAGTTCAAAGTTAGTACCAGAACTTACATTATGCCAACGCACTTCATAATTATATGTTCTACAATATAATTTTCTTAAACTTATTGTTAAGATGAAAAACAGTAAGGTGAAGAAGTCCTGAATTAAAGGTGGTATAACTCAATAAATTAACTAAAATTAGCAGGACATAATAAGGTATCATAAACTCAGAAGACTCAGCTCTGTAGCCAACAGGTATGGGCAAGTCACTTGTTTTAACCTCAAACTCTTCTAAAGAGTAAGGATTTTCCTATGTCTTCACTATAGTTATAGAGATTTAATGATTTAATGCGTTAATATATAAAATATATAAATGCTCAATGAAATCAAGCAATGGAATACTTTGTTCTTGAAATTTACTACTGAAACTATTTTGGAATCCCAAAGAAAACCTGTAGTGTGTTTTTTCACTGTTCAGGCTACAGGAAATGTCATTAGTTTCTCATTCTGGCTATTAGTTACTCCATACAGCTGTAACCATAGATACCTCATCTACTTAACATATTGCAGCTACATGCATTTGTAAATATATCACTTCACTAAGTTAGGTAACATAATTGATGTGATCATTCACACTAAGGGTACAAAACTAAGAGCTGTCAAGTACTGGGGCAGACTATTACTATTCCTTTCAAGGATTCAAACTCTGCACCAGTTGATATTTGCTAGTATGATGCTTAACGTCCCTGTTCAACTCCACCTAACTTGGAAGATCAAACTGCACTTTATTACATGGTTTCTGAGAAGTTATGCATGGGGCTTAGCTCACTTAAATCCATATAACATACTTTAGATTCAGAGAATTCTCAAGAATGGCTTGTTGTGAGGCAGAATTTAAAACTACTTTGAAAATCTGATATAAAATGCACATAATTTAGATTTCCATCTTCACTATTACAGCAAACAAATCACCTTAGGTCCAACACATACTCTGGAGCACAGAAACATACGGGACATTCCACAAACCAAGAACATATGTGCCCAGACTATAAAGAAGCCTTAGGGTACATATCTGGTGCAAAACATTAAATAAACTCTCATCTTTTCCTACATTATCTGAATTTGTCTGACAACAGAATGGTACCAAGTAGAAACTACTAGCAAAGTCAAGAACCTTATAAAGAACACGTCATGAAGGTTTAAGGCTAAGAAGTAGATGCCACCTGAGGTTCTCATAAATAGCCTATTTTTGGCTACATACATGCCAAAACCTAGGAAGCCAGAGTGGGGTGTTAATACTTTGTGGACAGTGACTGAGTATATAGGCATATGTCAGTCAACAAATAGACATTTTAATCTCAGGATATACACATCACCACGAAGACTGGGGATCTGGATCAGTAAAAGAATCCTGGTAACAAAGGAAGCAATAAAAAATAAGAATTATTAGAACCCCATCTCTCTGATGAAGGAAGATTGCCTTGAGAACCTTATCTCTCTGATGAAGGAAGATTGCCTTGTCAGGCTTATGGAACTTCCTGGCTTCTTGTAAAACTCAAGAAAAAGAATTTAAGAGGCAGCTCCCAGGACAAAATATGAAATTTCCTGCTAATCTGGACACTGAAGGCCTAACCAACTAAGTAGAACTAGGAAGGTGTGACACTGTTTGGAGGGTCATGGCAGGGGTTGTATTTGAAATGATATGGATAATGTGGGCAGTCAGGGATAAAGACCTTCAAATCTCTGAGATAAAGAATTTGTACCCATCTGTACTTCTAACTAGCCACCTTTCTCTTTGGTTTTTTTTGTTTTAAAGATTTATTTTACTTGAAAGTCAGAGTTACACAGAGACAGGAGAAGCACTAGGAGGAGGAGGTGGGAGGGGGAGAGGGAGGAGGAGGAAGAGGGGGAGGGGGAGGGGGAGGGAGAGGAGGAAGAGAGGGCTTCATCTGATAGTTCACTCCCCAGTTGGCTGCAATGGCCAGAGCTGCACCGATTTGAAGCCAGGATCCAGGAGCTTCTTCTGGGATTCTCATGCGGGTGCAGGGGCCCAAGGACTTGGGCCATCTTCTACTGCTTTCCCAGGCCATAGCAGAGAACTGGATCGGAAGTGGAGCAGCCAGGAATCAAACTGGCGCCCATATGGGATGCCAACACTTCAGGTGGCAGCTTTACCCTCTACATCACAGCACCTGCCCCTCTGTTTAGTTTCTGACTGTTGAAGTAAAGGGACTCACTGCCATTCCAAAAACTGTGAGAGCTAAGTCATCTGAAAACATGAAGTACTTACACCTCAACTTCATGTTGATTACAATGTTAGTGTAAACACTTACATATTACGTTTTTGAAGAGCATAATCCCTAGCAGAATGTCCAGCAATGTCTTCAGAAAGCACATCAACCCCTAGTTCAAGAAGCATGTGTACTATGTTTTCCGTACTATACCGTCCCGCAAACATGAGGGATGTTCTAAAATAACAGAGAAGAACTTCATTAAAAACTTCAATGAGGCTACTCAAACAGCTGAGTGGCTCTATTTTACCAAGTTAATATCTTGCCTATGTATATGTGATCATTTACTTGTATTAATGGACATAAGCATCTTGGAATATCAAATGCTCATCTCCAGAAATTATCTCCAGGGTTAAAGAGAAAAAAAACAAAAAAGCCTCTTGTCTAACTGGGGTATTCCATAGAAGTTACTAATTTGAAGTCTTTAAGGGATAGTAACACCATTGAGATCACTTGTTTAAATCAGGCAGTTTTAAGTGAAGAATTCACTCTTACTTCCCCAGTTTTAAATATTAAATATATCCCAGTCAGGTAAGTAAAAGCTATCTGAAAGCATAAAGCTCTTATATTATATGGCAATAATAGTCACAGCAGTTTCAGTTAGCAATGGTGACAACCACGTGTCAGCTACTGAATTACATTTATATATGACATTATATACAACTACATCTGAAAGACAGGATACATTACTATCCCACTTTCACTTCAGGTTCGATTTAATAGTTAATGTTCCCAAGGTTGCACACCCAACAGGTTGGACATCTGAGAATTAAGCCTTGTGTTATATGTCTTTTCTCTTTCTCATTTATTATTTGTCATCAAAGGAAAAGCTTATCTAAGTAAATACATTTCTTCCCTCTTCCCATACTAATTACAAATAAAATTATAAGGATCAGGCATTTAATCTTGGTATTATGACACCAATTAAGAAGTCCCCTTCCCGTATCAGACTACCTGGTTTGACTCCCAGATTCATCTTCTATGTGTAGCCTCCTACTATACAGACCCCGGAAGACATTAGTTATATTCAGCTTAGATAATTAGATTCCTGCAACTACATGAAAGTCTTTATTGCATTCTTAGCTCCAAGTTTCAATCTGGCCCAGCCTGAACTGTTGCAGGCATTTGAGCAGTGAAACTGAAGTGAGAGAGTTCTAATTCTCTCTCTGTGTTTCTCTAATCTCTCTCATAGAATTTTTTAAAAACCATGCTTTTAAAAATATCAAATATCAAAAAAGCAGAATGAAAAAAACGATAAAATCATACTATCTGCTAATAACCACCTACAGTCGCTTAAGTATAACTTAACATCAATATACTTTGAAGAAAGAAATTAACAAAAAAAAAGTCAGCAAAAAGACAAAATGATTTTCAATTCCTATTTATGTATACTACAGCATTTTTAAAAGTAGAGTATGTGGGCGCTAGATTCTGTCCCGGTTGCCCCTCTTCCAGGCCAGCTCTCTACTGTGGCCCAGGAGTGCAGTGGAGGATGGCCCAAGTGCTTGGGCCCTGCACCCCATGGGAGACCAGGAGAAGCACCTGGCTCCTGGCTTTGGATCAGCGCCTTGCGCCTGTGGCCATTAGAGGGTGAACCAACGGCAAAGGAAGACCTTTCTCTCTGTCTCTCTCTCACTGTCCACTCTGCCTGTCAAAAAAAAAAAAAAAGTAGAGTACGTAGGAAAAAAAGATTTCTTTAAGATTATTTATTTATTTGACAGAGTTGGACAGTGAGAAAGAGACAGAGAGAAAGGTCTTCCCTCCGTCGGTGGAAAAATTTTAAAAATATTACAGAATGTTTAAGAAGCTCAATAGTGACTCATATTTATTAAAACAGTAAAACTAAAATGAATAACCTTTCATTAATATCACTATACAACCAAAAATCAGATTACTATTAAAATATCAGTCACTATCATAAGAGAATATGACCATTCCTATGTAGCTCCTTGTGTTGGCCAGTATGCATAATTGCTTTCCTACCAGATAGATTTTATTGTTACTTTTCATTGTATCTCAATAATATACTAACATTTTATTTCATATTTCTGACTTGAATCACTTATAACTGATAAACATCACTGAGTTTAAAATATAGAATGAAATAATTTACCTGTTTAGATTATCAACTGCAAAAACATCTGCATTCTGTAATATTAAAAATTTAACCATAGTTTCTTGGTTTTGTTGAATAGCCACTAACAGTGGTGTGAGGCCAGTCTGTAAAAAATGATTCACAATTCACATTATTACATATTTCTCAACAGAACTGAACATATTTCAGATGACAATGCAAACTCGGACATCAAATGTAGAAGGTAAATTAAAGGAGGCTCTTTCTTCCCACCCTGTGCTTCCACATGTACTGCACATTCCTCTTAAAACTCTCCTCTCCATTGCCTCATTGCATGGAACCTACTCATCACCAAGACTCACTCCAAACAATTGCATTCCAGGGTTCATGCTTCCATCAAAACACTCACCATGGAATATTACAATTATTTGATTGCACACAATAAAAACACAAGGTCCTCTGGAAGGCAAGGGCTACATGTTTTACCTCTGTAGCCCTAAACCCTAAGACATAGTAGTTAATATTTCAAGCATTCTTATTCAACTGATGACCTAAATTATTGTCTCAAAAATGTTTCTCAATACATATTTCCAAGAACATTTACTTTTGCACAAATTATATACTGTCCACCAACAGAAAAATGTCATGATCATCTGTTTGAGAAATATAACAAAGCCATGCATCCTGTGTCCCCTAGGTGGGGAGAGAAGCAAACTGGAGGGTATCTGCCTTTAAAAATAGGAAACCTTCTGTACAGCATACAACTCAGTAATCTGAGCTCAAGGATCCCTGATTGGAATCCTTCAGATAATCCTGACAGTCAGAGGTGTGCATCAGTCTCCCAAATTTTGTATTTTGAAACAATTTACAGAGGCAAACTACACATCTCTGCACCATGTTCAGTCGATTCCTTTGAGTCTTTGTATCAGCTGGCAATGCATTTCCAAATGATTTTGTATAAAGCAGGTATTAACATGTAATATCTTCACTTTTCTTAGCATCACCTAATTCACAAAAAGAAGATCAGGCCCACTATGTAGTCAACAGGGCACACCCAATATACTATTTTCCAACAGTTAAATAACCATCCATTTGTATTTAAATCTGACAGGTTTTAGTCAAATGGATATTTGAGATACAGGAATGTTGAAACTGAACTATTAAAAGAATGTCCATCCAAATATTCTTAACACTACCATGGCTTTCAATTTTAAGTCTGCCATAGTGATTATGTGTCAGCGCTCCATGAATTCAACACAACAAGATTTGATTGTGTATCATAAAGCTTCAATGAGGAAAAAGGTTCATAATTTGCTATATTCTAACCATAAAGCCCTGCTTGCAATATACATTTCTTTGTAAAACTATCCGTAAGTGTTATTCTGTAGGCTGAGAATTATTAGTATTATCTCTTTGAATTTATAACTACAAAGGAAAAGAAAGACAGATAAAATCAGAGGTTAGTATTGTTCGAATGTAGCATCCATCAAACTCTAACTCTTCTCAAGATTCTTAATAGTTTTTGAGACCTAAGAACTTACACATTACAATTAACAGTTTGGTGGTTCTTAACAAGGGTTTTGTCAGACTCTCAGAGATAGGTTTTTAAGTATACATGTAAAGACGTAGTAAGATTTACTGAAATAAAATACTCTTGGAGAGACTAACTAGACTTCTAAGTTTTTCCAGGTCATTCTGATATACAACTCCAGCCGAGAACTGGTGCAGCAGACAACACCACTTCCATCTCTCCTCTCACACACATCATTTGGAGACTTGACCAAAAAGGAGAATGAGTAAGAGACACACACACTGAACATCCCATTTCATTTTTCTTGAGTAGGAATAAATCAACTAACAGTAAACTCAAAGTCCAACTTAGATTTATTTGTAGGATCCTTTTCTTCTACTTTCCCACAAAGACATTCTCTATTTGAGAGCTGAGTTTAGACACTTTTCCTCAGCAGCTCTTCCTACCATAATAAAATGTCAATCATTTGTTCTTCCCTCTTGTTTTCTACATTCATCACCACCTAGTCACTCCAAATATGGTTCCCCAAAGCAAACTTACAACTTATTAATGATATTAATGAAAGTACAAGTTATATACTTTCAATCAAAGAATACTTGGTCTACACAAAACTCAACAAAAACAAATCAAAAATCCCATCTCCGTATTTTCCCTCAATTACCTAATTTACAAATGTTTCATTCTTCTATCCTTTTCTCTTGCAAAGTTTCCCAGTTAACCCTTG